CACAATTTTTCGAAATGCAATTGGCATTTTTCAGATTGTTATTATAGATCTCCTTTATATAAAAAGAAAAGATTTCAATGCTTCTAAGGGCTGTCACATCAGCAAAAATAATCAGAAAAATAATTAGCCAATGGTACTCCAAAAACTGCTATGTCATCTTCTTCAACCAATAACTTAAAGTCATTTCACTAAATAATTTATTAATCAAAATTTCTTCAAATCTTAACAACAAAAAACTTCCGTATTTACTAAATTCTAAAAAAAAAATGAAGCCCAAAAAAACTAAAAACGAATTACGCTGAAACTCAATTATAAAGCTCAAACAAAAGCTCATTTTATGGAGTTATCGTCTTCTCGATTTCCAATCTTCTCGCCTCTAACTCACCATAATCAGAATCAGCCGTTACTAAACACAAACTACACTCTTTAATTAATGACAATTATTCTGGCAATAAACAATAAAGCTTAAATAAGTGGACCACAAATAAGTGAAATCCAAAAAACATAGCAATGAGGATGTCAAAAAACAAAAAAAACAAAAAAAGACATAGCAATGAGCCATATAGGGTATAAATAATACACAGCTCTACGCAACATAAAAATACAATCTGATAACTGTTTTGCATTTATATTTATAATGTGAGTCGAGCAATCAGTCATAGTAATGCTGGAGCTGGAGAACGTCTTTCTCGCCAAAAATAAAACTTGAGGAGTGACTCGGTTATCTTTCTTCTACAGAAAAGTAATTTAAACAATTGTACCTATATGATCTTATAACAGATTTCAAGTTTCTAAAACTGATATAGAATTTCATATTGTTTGTTATAATCAGACATTGTGGAGAAACCGACGTAAAAGTCTAACTAAACAACCGGTAATTGAAGACAGTTACTCACCGTTTTTTAATTCTCATTTGCAAAAGTTAATGAAACATAAAACTAAAAACTTTAAAAAATATATATATATGACTATAAAGTTCCAGACTCTTCACCAATATTGGCAAATGATCGAGCTAGCTAAATTATCAAACAAATATTATATCAATTAATAAAGAACCCATATAATAAAGAAGTTCATTGTTAATTGCCATTTGTTTTCTTCATTGAGTATATGAACTAATTATAAAACACCTATGTACACACTAAATCTTTAAGAATTGATAAGTAGAGAAATGCAGAATATATGGAAATTAAAAATAAAATCCTAAAGTATAATATATAACTATAACAGTTAGTCATATAATAAAGAAGTTTATGAAACAAATCCTAAGGTACATTATATGATTGAAGACAGTTACTCACTCTTTCTTAATCTCATTTGCAAAAGTTCATGAAACATAAAACTATAAAGTTTCACACTATTCACCAATATTGGCAAATGATCGAGCTAGCTAAACTATCAAAAAAATAGTTTATCAATTAATAAAGAACTCATATAATAAAGAAGTTTATTATTAATTGTCATTTGGTTTCTTCTAATTATAAAACATCTATGTACACACTAAATTTTTAAAAATTGATAAGTAGAGAAATGCATATTATATGAAAATTTAAAAGAAAATTCTAACGTACAATATGAAACAAAAGTGGAGTAAGGATTACGTTTTTCTTTTTAAAAGCATCAAACGAAAGAGAAGATTATGCAAAAAAGTTTATAATAGTGTAAAATAATACGCATGGTGTTCATTATAACGTAAGATATCCAAATTTAGACAATATATTTCTAATATAATATATAGTTCATATATGTAGTACTATTCACATAAATAAAAAAAATATAACAAATCAACTTATTATACAAAATGGTTAAATTTTACCCTTCATATTTGTAAAAACATGCATCAACTCTTGAAATAAGTTCAACTAACCCATAAGATATATTAATCTATTTTCAAATTATTATACAGAAATTTTGTTCATCTTTATATATATATACTCCTCTTATATTTACTTCACCCGACTATATCTAAGAATCACATGCAAATATATTATTCTATAATTTATCATAATATTAAATATAAATTAACTGACAACCTTTTATAAAACTACAATATAATTATAAAACTCACGTGGACAAAACATTAGTAAATAAAATAATAACATTTCAATTAACGCTAAGATAGAAAATCAGTGACGACAAAAAAAACAAAAAAAAAACAAAAAAAAAACAAAAAAAAATCAGTAAGCAGGAAGCTAAAATAACTGACCTAGACAAACTCGTTTAGAATCATTGTAACCCTGTCGCCGGCCACAATGTTGTCATCCGTCGACGCCGAATTCTCCATCTCAGTCTGAATCATTGTTGTAATCGGAGGTACTACTTTTTTACTTTTATTTCTTTCCTTCTGAGTCTAATTTCTTTACATCGCCATCGAGATGATTTTAGTTAATTGCATCGATTTGTCCAAGTTAAAGTTCTTCACTTTTTGCATGCATCTGTTCTTTGCCATTGTGTGATTTGATAAAGATAGAGAACGAACAAGTTTGGATTTTGGTTGCATCTGTTATATTAATCTCTATAAACAATCAAATTGGACACATTAAAACTCGATTTGTATTTGGTCATGATTCTTGTGCTTTGCGCATTCATTTTGATTGGTTTAATCAGTACATTACTGTGTTAAGTTACATGGGCTTCTAACTTAAAACCAATTGGCAGTAAGTAGATTGGTTCATGCTCCTTATATATTAGTTAGGATCCCTTCCAACTTCCGATGTGGGATATTATCCCTAATACGCCTCCTCGAGACGGTGGCTACTTTGGCCATTGATCTCGGTAATGTTTGGGCAAGGATCGACGGACCATCTTTGGGTCACATATCAATTATGGATCGGGTTGGATTGTTTGGATCGGGCTCTGATATCATGTTAAGTTACATGGGCTTCCAACTTAAAACCAATTGGAAGCCCGATCCAAACAATCCAACCCGATCCATAATCGATATGTGACCCAAAGATGGTCCGTCGATCCTTGCCCAAACATTACCGAGATCAATGGCCAAAGTAGCCATCGTCTCGAGGGGGCGTATTAGGGATAATATCTCACATCGGAAGTTGGAAGTTGGAAGAAGTTGGAAGAGATCCTAACTAATATATAAGACATGGGCCAATCCACTCATTGCCAATTGGTTTTAAGTTGGAAGCCATGTAACTTAACATATTGTGGCTGTTGTTGTTTTGTGTTATAGTTTAATTACAATTTTGAACTTATATGATAGGAATTTTGGAATATTCTTTCTCCAAAGTGATTTTTTTTTGTTTCACTTGCTTTACTCTCTCGCTTTTGAGCAGCTATTCAACCCTAATTTTCTTCTAATCATAGTGGCTTTCGAGAAGATGAAGAAGACAAACAGAGTAGTAGATCTTCCGGAGGATTTGATAGTGGAGATAATGTCTAGGGTTCCGACAGTATCTCTGGTACGGTTACGATCAGCATCCAAAAGATGGAACGCTCTTTCCAAAGATGGGAGATTTGCTAAGAAGCACTCTGCTAATGCACCAAGGCAGTCTTTGGCTATCTTGCTTACCGGTTTTAGGGTTTATTTATTGAGCGTCGATCTCCGTGGAATCCACGACAAGGTTGCTCCATCTCCAAAGGTAACAACAACACGTCATATCAGCCTCAAAGATCCTCTTTCTAACTCTTTGAAAGAAGTTGATATACGCAAAATCTCTCACTGCGATGGTTTCTTGCTATGCACGACTGAAGACGATAGACTGGTGGTTTGGAACCCGTGTTCAGGTGAAACCAGGTGGATCCAACCAAGAAACTCCTACAAGAAAACCGACTATTATGCTCTCGGTTACAATAACAAATCATGCTGTTACAAAATCTTGCGGATTGATCCCGTGTGTCGCTATGGTACTGAGTACGAAATATATGACTTCACCTCCAATTCGTGGAGAGTTGTTGGTGTGACTACTAACGACTGGAACCCACACCAGAATGTGCGTGGTGGTGGAGTATCTGTGAAGGGAAATACTTACTGGCATGGATACAACCTAGAGGCGCCACATCCTTCCTTATTAAGCTTCGATTTTACAATAGAGAGATTCCAAACTCAGCCTCTTCCTCATCTATCTGATCCTAGCTGTATCAGGGCTTTATCAGTTGTTAGAGAGGAGGAACTTTGCCTAGTAACTTATATGGACGGTGATTCATTAGATGTGGATGTATGGATGACATCCAAGATTGAGAGTACCGAAGTCGTGTCATGGACCAAATTCCTAACAGCCAAAACCGAGCCTCGGTTGAGTCTTTGGATGAGTTTCGTGGCCGACAAGCAGAACAAAGTGTTGGTGTGCTGCGATGTCAGCGGTTTTCCCAAGCAAAACTTACACATTGTAGCAGAGGATAGACACATACAAGTGGATCACCATGCTTCAAAATCTACTTGCCCATATCTCCTCAGTTATGCTCCGACTTTGGTTCAAATCCAGCAAGGTTTATAACTTTTGGAGTACAAGAGCTAGGGCTTTTATAATCGTCACACTAGTTGATGCATTTTCTATCCAACTCTTTTGAGATTTTAAGGTTGCTTTTCTTTAGAATTTATATTATTTAATAAAAGATGTAGCTTGTCTTGCTAATCTATAACATGTTTTTGTCTTGAGTGCAAAGCCTTTTTGTTCTCTACCAAATTTTAATAGGAAAACTTTACTTGCATCTAGGATTTGAACAACAACAAAAAAAAACATCAAGGGAACAAAGAAAATTAGCTATTTGAAATAACATAACTGGATGTAGGTGTCTTTTTCACTTCTTTGCATCCACATTTGCTAAATGAAAGTACCTATTATCTATTGATTTAAGCACATTACACTCAATTTGAGCTGCAATTTGCAGTTTAAGCACTGTGTTTATATTAAGGCAAGCAATATTTAGATTCTTTACTAGACCAAACCAATTTAAACCAAACCCAACTTATAAACAGTTTGGTTTGGTAACGAGGCACAAATTGCTTTTGCTTTGCAATAAACTGTATAAGGAACAAGCCTCCTCTATGCGTCCAATTTAACTTCAGTCTTGGGAGACTTGACAAGAAGAGAACTTAGCTTAGAGATAGTAACGTAGCTTCCTAAGTCGGTTGTGGCCATAACGCCAGAACCAGAACCAAGTCCAGAGTCAGGCCTTCTTCCCTTCCTTTATGTGTCCAATATAACTTCAATCTTGGGAGATTTGTCAAGAAGAGAGCTTAGTTCAGTAACATAATTTCCCAAGTCAGTTGTAGCAGTAACGCCAGAACCTGAACAGGACGAGAGTCAGGCCCTTCTTCTTTGCTTTGTAGCCAGAGAGTTCCATAAAACAGTTTCATTGCGTTCACCTCTAACTAAAATCATATGAACAAGACTCTCAGCTAAAATCATTAACTAGAATTTTCATCTACTTGTTCATAAGTCTTGTACAGATTTGTGTGAAACAAGGTGACAAAAATAGTACTAACCTGATCATTCACCAATCAATATAATCCCACACTCATATTTTGTGGAATTATTGTATCTATATATTTAATTTTTAAATGATTTTGTATTCAGCATTGAAACTAATTAATAAATAAGGTGAATCGCGGAAATTAGGGTAAATAAACACATTGCGAAGATTCTTTGTCCAAAGGAATTTTTTTTTGGCTCTCTTGCTTTCCTTGTCTTGCTCTCTCGCTTTTGAGCAGCTATTATTTAACCCTAAGTTTCTTCTAATCACAGTGACTTTCGAGACAATGAAGAAGAGAAATAGAGTAGTAGATCTTCCGGAGGATTTAGTGGAGGAGATAATGTCTAGGGTTCCGACTGTATCTCTGGTACGTTTACGATCAACATGCAAAAGATGGAATGCTCTTTCCAAAGATGAGAGATTTGCTAAGAAGCACTCTGCTAATGCACCAAGGCAGTCTCTGGCTATCGTGTTTACTATTTTTAGGGTTTATCGATTGACCATCGATCTCCGTGGATTCCACGACAACGTTGTTCCATCTCCAGAGGTAACAACGCGTCATATTAGCCTCAAAGATCCTCTTTCTAATTCTTCAAAATAAGTCGATATACGCAACATCTTTCACTGCGATGGTTTATTGCTATGCAAAACCAAAGACTACAGACTGGTGGTTTGGAACCCTTGTTCAGGTGAAACCAGGTGGATCCAACCAAGAAACTCCTACAAGAATTACGACTGCTATGCTCTCGGTTACGGTAAAAAACCATGCTGCTACAAAATCTTGCGGATGGATCAATGTCGCCATGGTACTCTATTTAACACTGAATACGAAATATATGACTTCACGTCCAATTCATGGAGAGTTGTTGGTGTGACTACCGACTGGTACGTAGCAGAGGGCGTGCGTGGTGGTGGAGTATCTGTGAAGGGAAATACTTACTGGCTTGCAAATAAACGAGAGCCACATCTTAGTTCCTCCTTACTAAGCTTCGATTTTTCAACAGAGAGATTCCAACCTCATCCTCTTCCTCATTTATTTAATCTTGACAGTATCAGGGCTTTATCAGTGGTTAGAGAGGAGGAACTTTGTCTAGTAACTTATATGGACGGTGATTCATCAAATGTAAATGTATGGATGACATCCAAGCTTGGGAGTACCGGGGTCATGTCATGGACCAAATTCCTTACAGCCAAAACCGAGCCTAAGTTTGGTTATACGATGAGTTTTGTGCCCGACGAGCAGAACAAAGTGTTGGTGTGCTGCAATGATAAAACCGGTTCCTCCTACAGAAACATACACATTGTGGCAGAGGGTAGAGACATACAAGTGGATCACCTTGCTTCAAAATATTATCCCCCATTTCTCCTCAGTTATGTTCCGACTTTGGTTCAGATCCAGCCAGGTTTATAGCTTTTGCAGTACAAGAGCTTTATGAGTTTATAATTCTCACACTAATTTATGCATTATATTTTAAGGTTGGGTTTCTTCTGTCCGACTGTCCCATGAAAGTATGATACTTAATAAAGATGTAGGCCTTGCTAATTTATTACTTGTTCTGGAAAGGTTCTCGTTTTTGTTCTCTGTGAGTTTTGGCTTTTTATTTCTGGTTTTTGTCTTCATCTTCAATTTCTGGTTCCGTTTATTGAGATGGGTTACCTACACTCGAGGATGGTATTTTTCTGAATATATTGTGACTGTGGGGATTCGTTTCACAATAGAAGCGCATGTGATGTCACAAACGAGCATGTGCTGCCCATGCTTGGTATCTTTACCGAACCAAACATCGTCAAGAGGAATGTTGGGAAAAAAATAAGGACTTTTTTTGTTTTTGGCTTTGATATATTGAAGTGTTGTTGCCAAAAACTCACTCTCCCTACTGATGCCTAGGGAAACGCCCAATTGACGTTGGTGTAGTTCACCTCAAATTTGTATTTATCAGATGAGATGAAGAACTCCGGGCCATTAACAAATCAAACACCACGCCACTACATCTACTATATGTTAATTGAAAATGTAGTTTAATGAAAAATATTAATTTGTTTCAATTTGATTGGTTAATATATTTAGTTAGAATAATTTAAATGTGATTTACAAATGATGATATGTAATAATTATGTAATTGTGTATGGCTTGCAACATAATTTTATTTAATTTTATAAATAAAATTAGACATTAAATTTTTGATATGAAATTTACATAGTCAAGTTTTTGGTAAAAAATTTAAGAAATGAGATTTTTGCCAAATAGATTTGAAATTACAATTATGACACAAACATTTGTTAGGGAAATTTATGGATTTCAAATATCTAGCGAGAAATTTGTGGTAATCTATTTTGCCAAAAAGTTTTTGATATCATATTTTTGACAGAAAATTTATGGATTCGAGTTTTAAAAAAACTTTTTTGATGTTATATTTTAAGTAAGTTTTTTTTTTTTGGCTAAAGCTAATCTAGTAACTTACCTGGAAACACCTCTCACAATACCAAACTTGTAAGCCAGCAAGAACTGATTCCTTGTAGCCAAAGTTATAACCTTGCTGCGCAGCAGCTTCTTTCCCGGCGATAATCCCATCACGGTATCCAGACTATTCATATTGAATTTAGCAGCAAAGCCGATTCATGTATTAAAAAGTTGGTCGAAACTGAAAAAAAAAGGCATTTTCATTATGAATACGTTAAGCTCCGATTAAGAAAGAATACCATGTGGAAATTAGCAATACAGTTTGAGTTAGTCCTGCTCTAATCCAAAAACAAACCTGGCAAACACAAGATAAGTATTATTGAGTAACAGAAGAAGAAAAAAACAAATTAATCAGCCAAAAGCAAATAGAAATCTTAGTAACTATGAGAACATATTTAAGTCAATACAGCTACAACAAGAGACAAAAAAGGTAACTTCAATTGCAAGGGTAAGATCTACTCACGGGGTTTCACTTTCTCCGTAAAGCTCTTTGGCGAAATTAGACTTCACATCTGTAACAAAAGCAAGATCTTTCGAATCAATCCATTGGGTCAGGATTGGGAAAATGGCAATGGATTGGGATCCTGAATCCTGAACATCATTACAGATGGGATTGGGAAAATTCATCATTGTTCAGGATTCGAATCAATCCATTGATTATTACAATGATGAGAATGTGTTATAATAAACAGCAATGAACAATGATGAATTTCAACAATTCAAATTGGGAAAATGGGTTTCTCTAGATCCTCTATGAGTCCAACTTATAAACAGTTTGGTTTGGTAACGAGACACAAAGGCAGTCTCTGGCTATCTTGCTTACTGCGTGTAGGGTTTATTTAGTGAGCGTCGATCTCAGTGGAATCCACGACAACGTTGCTCCATCTCCAAAGGTAACAACACGTCATATCAGCCTCAAGGATCCTCTTTCTAACTATTCGAAAGAAGTTAATATACGCAGCATCTTTCACTGCCAAGGTATATTGCTATGCACGACCAAAGACTACAGACTGGTTGTTTAGAACCCGTGTTCAGGTGAAACCAGGTGGATCCAACCAAGAAACTCCTACAATGAATTCGACTTTTATGCTCTCGGTTACGATAACATTTCATGCTGCTACAAAATCTTGAGGATAGATGATGAGTGCGAAATATACGACTTCACTTCTAATTCGTGGAGAGTTGTTGTTGTGGCTAAGGACTGCTCCTTAGGACGTCGTATGCTTTGTGATGGAGTATTTGTGAAGGGATTTGCTTACTGGCTTGCATGCAAGGAAATGCAATCTGTCTTACTGAGGTTCAATTTTTCGACAGAGAGATTCCAAAGCCAGCCTCTTTGAAATTCGTTTAGCCCTCACCACTGTATCAAGGCGTTCTCAGTGGTTAGAGAGGAGGAACTTTGTCTAGTAACTTCTAAGTCCGGTGATCCATTAGGTGTTGATGTATGGATGGCATCCAAGATTGAGAGTACCGGAGTCATGTCATGGACCAAATTCCTAACAGCCAAATCCAAGCGTAAGTTTGGTTATGCTTCGAGTTTCGTGGTCGACAAGGAGAAGAAAGTGTTGGTGTGTTGCAAATTCCATTGCCGCGATTTCCGCAACCAGAGAAGCTTACACATTGTGGGAGAGGGTATAAACATTGAAGTGGATCATCAGGCTTCAAAATCTTTTCACCCATTTATCCTCAGTTATGTTCCGACTTTGGTTCAAATCCACTAAGGTTTATAGTTCTTGGGAGTATCTGAGCTAATTTATCTATCCAACTCTTGAGATTTTATATGCTATATGGTTAATATCCAACTTTTTATTTCTTCTTGATCTTCAGTTTCTGCTTTTTTATATTGAAATGGATTGCCTACACTTGGACACAAATCTTGCATTTTTTGCTTTGCAATAAACCATAGGGAACAAACTTCAATATATCATAGTAGATTTGACAAGAAGAGAGCTTAGCCAAGTAACATAGCTTCCCAAGTCGGTTGTGGCAATAACGCCAGAGCTAGAACCAAGACCAGAGAGAGTCAGGCCTTCTTCTCCACTCTTCCCTTCCTCTATGTCTCCAATTTAACTTCAATCTTGGGAGATTTTTCAAGAAGTGAGCTTAGTTCAGTAACATAGTTTCCCAAGTGATCAGTTGTAGCAGTAACGCCAGAACCTGAAACAGAGCTAGGACCAGAAACAGAGTCAGGCCCTTCTTCTCCACTCTTCTCCTCCCCTTGCTTTCTAGTCAGAGCTCCATAAAACAGTTTCATTGCGGCTTCCGTTGAGATACCATGCACAGAATCGTGTAATTTCTGAAACTTATCCCTAGTTTCTCGTTCATCGACCAGCTTCTCTCTTAACTCATCCGGAAGAAAAGCCAACGCACTTCAAAAGGGTCAAAAAATCAGAAATATGTATTTAGACTACTCCTCGAATGATCTATGTCGCAGCAGCGCCAAAGCTAATCTAGTAACTTACCTGGAAACGCCTCTCACAATACCAAACTTGTAGCCAGCAAGAACTGATTCCTTGTAGCCAACGTTATAACCTTGCTGCGCAGCAGCTTCTTTCCCGGCGATAATCCCGTCACGGTATCCAGACTATTCATATCGAATTTAGCAGCAAAGCCGATTCATGTATTAAAAAGTTGGTCGAAACTGAAAAAAAAAAGGCATTTTCATTATGAGTACGTTAAGCTTCGGTTAAGAAAGAGTACCATGTGGAAATGCTCACGTCTCTTCTCCGACTCCCTGTTCATCGAGTACGCTTCACTTGATTCTTCATCTGAACTTCCGAAAAACGATCCGTCTAAATTCTCAAGACTGTGATCATTATCATCATCATCATTACCTAAACCAAAAGCAAACATTAGCAACACGGTTTAAGTTAATCCTGCTCTAATCCTAAAATAAACCTAGCAAACACAAGATAAGTATTATCCAGTAACAAAGCCAATTGAAACCTTAGTCAACTATGAGAACATATTTAAGTTACTACAGCTACAACAAGAGACAAAAACCAAAGGTAACTTCAATTGCAAGGGTAAGATTTACTCACCGGGTTTCGAAAGGTGCAAACTTTCTCCGTAAAGCTCTTTGGCGAGATTAGACTTCACATCTGTAACAAAAGCAAGATCTTTCGAATCAATCCATTGGGTCAGGAATATCGTCGAACATCTGATAGAGGATTAAAATCTGAAATCATATAATTGGTATCGTATATAAGAACCTTCAGGTGGCTCCATTAGTAGTTCTTACAGCGACGATGTCCACGAGCTTCGATGGAAGAGATTCAGAGGGGAAGATGACGAGCTTCTATTGCCGTCGATGATGAATGAAGGGAAGACAAGGTAGGATTTAGAGATTGGGTTTGGGTTCCGTCATCTGATTTGGGCCGGACTTTTTGGTTGGTCTTGGGCCGGAATGATTTTTCTAAATAAAAACCCGTATAATTATTAAAACGCATCGTTTCAAAGCAGGTGGCCGCGTGTGAATTCTTTCAAGGCAAGGGGCGTTGTAAACTGAAGGCAACTCTGTGAATGCGCTTGCCATTTAGAAAAATGATGTTTTGTTTTGCTTCTTCCACAGGGTTATATCATAATCAGCAATGAACACACTCAATTTCAACATTTCAAATTGGGAAAATGGGTTTCTTCTCTACATTTCAAACTCTGTTCCTCAGAAAGAAAGGAAAGGAAAAAGTAAACCGGTTTAAAACTGAAGACCGTGTTCACGTGCTGCAGCGGCAAGAGCTTCAATGCGTCCATGGTAAGGGTAACCACCACGGTCAAAGGCCACCTTTGTGATGCCTTTCTCCAAGCAAGATTTCGCTATAACTTCCCCAACTTTCTTAGCTACCTCCTGATCATATACCAAAGCGTTTCAACCATTTAAAAACAAGAAACCACTATCCTCATTGCAAAACCAGAGTTCGAAAGTAGATGATGAACTTACAATGGTTGGTCCTGAAGTGTAGTCGAGCTCCTCAGAGATAGGTTTCTGCTTGGTGGAAGCTGAAGCTAAGGTGTGCATCTTGGTATCATCGATCACTTGCACATAGAGATGCTTGTTTGACCGAAACACGCAAAGCCTTGGCCTCTCTGTTGTTCCATTAACCTATGAAGAGTGAGAAGAAAAAAAAATAGATTCAGGGATCAAACTCAGAGAAATGCTCATAACATTTTCTCTGTTCCTATTTTCATTTTTCACTCAAAACCACTAATCTTCTAAAGGCTGGAGATTTCTCACTCAAAACATATGCTTGAATTTCGGAAAACTGGTTACAGATTCTTCAGAGTAAGCAACATGGAGTTACATTGTTCAATTCGAATTCTAACGAACACCCAATTTCATCGCAATTCTACAATACACTTGAACAATCAAACACATTCCTCAAGAGATGATAAAACCAATCGGCTAAGAAATTGAATGAGAAATTCAAAGCGAAAGCGGAATAGTACCTTCTTACGGATGCGAGAATGGCGGGCGATTCTGTCTTCGCTGCTGGTTTTGGTTTTGGCTTCGACCACCATCGACCGAGACTGAAGCGAAGACGACGAAAATGGCTTGAGGAAAACGGCACGGTGTTGCAGTCCGTTTCCCAAGAACGCGCTGCGGTTGGTAATCAGGCTCATCGAACCACACCCAGTCACGCTCGTCATTCTCTCTCGTTCTCTCTGGCTCACTCTCTTTGTGTAAAGCCAAATCCTTTTTGCCTTATCCCCTTTTCTTGCCGCTGCTGCGTATATATTTCCTTTATTTCTATTTTGACCCCTCAAATTTTCTAACTTTGTTCATTTCTCCATCATAATTTTAAAAATGAGTTTTGCGTCCGTGTTAGTATGTTTTCTATTCCAATTTTCAACAATTAATATGGAGATAAAATGGAAGGATTATTATTTTCATAACATGAAAATCCATCTACAAACACATCAACACAACAATAACACTAAAGCCTCTCCATAGTTTGACACTTCAGCTTTTTCAAGTTACCAAAAACTGACACATCAGCAAAATCAACAATCAATCAAAACATTTTAATTAATACACATCATCTACTAATTTTTATTATTTTTTAACTTAAACCCATTAAAAACTCAAATATTTTTTTGTTAATATTTGTTTTATTTTTTGCCAAATACAAACTCAAATAATAAATAACATCAAATAAAAAAAATTATATCTTTATATTATTTTTTCCCAAACTCAAACATAAATAATAAATAACAGCAAATAAAAAAAATCTTTATTTTAATTTTTGTCAAACCCAAACTCAAATAATAAACAACAGCAAACAAAAAAGTTAAAATTTCGTGGATACACAGATGAAAGGTGTGCCAGTGAAGATGATAGCTAAGTTAGTACCTAAGCATCCAAGGAAGCAATGTTTTTCGCTCTGTTTGTAATTTTCTCAAAAAACTCTAAATGTAGTACAAACACATCACCAATAATTGTATCTTTCTATCTTTCACGATATCCAAAAATCTTATATATACCTTTTGTTTGTTGTATGAGTAGAAAAAAAAAGAGATGGTTTATAATGTAACAGCCATCAAAATATTTTTAACTAAGAGCTTTGTATTTGTGCTTTTGAATCTTTTTTTCCTCAATCTATAGTAGTAATCTCCGTTAAATCATCAAAGCATTGCTCAGCGTAGAAAATTCGTTAAAAATCTAAACCGAACTAAACTGAAAAATAAACCTACGGGAATGATAAAAAAATAAAATAAGTGTGGCCCTTTTTTAACGAAACCAAGTTTTGGATTGGGCTCGTGTGAGGCTTTTTGTGTAGTCGCCGTTGTGGATATTTTGAAGTGTTAAGTCTATATTGCTTTTAGACTTTGGTATCTCTCCAGACCCAATTTAGAATTTTATTGGAAGAGTTAAAAATCCAAAAACACACAAAAAATTAATTAATTATTGTTATCAATTTTTTTTAAACTATCAACCGGTTATTATTCATAAGCCTTTGTAAGGCAAACACACACATGTGTTTTTCAAGTGGAAATTGAACCAATTTATAGTGCCTTAGTTGAGGTTTCTATTAGATTTAGTTCGCTAGGTTAATTACTGTTAAAAAATAACGTAAGAATCATTGAAACATTTAAAATTAATAATGCCGTGAAGAATTCTAATGAAGAAGACACTTACCTAATTAACAGTCTCAAGAGACTAAAAGATGCATAGTCATCACAAGATATGTCGAGATGCATAATCTCACTAGATCTCTTCCTCTAATTGTGTCACTTGACAAATTCATGTTACTCATAGTTTCAGAATTTCCATTTGACTCTTTTACTTCAGACGTTGGAAAATGATCATTATTTCGTATAATAATGATGGAGAAATGGTTTTGATTGAAGAAAGTGGTCTTTTTGTATAAAAGAAAGAGATATCAAGTTACTGAAAAAGAGAATTTTTAGCGTTTATAGTTGGCATCTTTATTTTTTTCATATTCAATATTTTAAATTTATACTATCATTGTCGACAGTCTTCGATGATATAAGTTTAGTATGTGTAAGATCAATATTTTATATTATACGATTGAAATAACATATCAGCTACAACTGAGACACAAATGAACCCTAAGCTGATAACATTTAAATGTAAGAACTAGAAAAATATGCCAAACATTTATGAACATGTCTTAAGTGAAAAATGGTTATTTCTGTTTGTTATAAAACAGATTAACATAAAAAAAAATTACTAATGAAAAGGATTTTTAGAAAATAAATAAAATTTTGTATTAGAAAGTAGTTTTATTGTGAATTTTTACGTTTAAGATGTTTTCCGTTCAAAATGAATATATATGAGAGTTAATATCAATTTTGACGTTTTACATTCATAACTTCAATATAGTTTTATATTATCTAAGTGTCTATTAGTGTTTTAATTCAACATCAACTCACCATTACAATCATTTATGTCCCTTTAATCACAACAAACATCTAATACAAATATTTTTTCAAAAAAATCACATTTACACAAAAATTAAATGATGTGGCATAAATTAACATTAAGACGGTTACTATTAAGCTTCAAAACTTTAAAGTTTGAAACACTATTCTAAATAATATTCCTATGCTTACATGTTCACAAAGTCTCCAATCAAGAAGTTGTAGATCATAAGATACTTTGAACATGTTTTAGAGAAAAATAACTAGATAGGAGATTCATTTTTTATGTTAGAAAATATGAAACTATGATAGAATTAAGTAAGGTATCATTTGAGTGAATTTTTGTATCAATTTAGAGGGATGTCAGTATAAGACAATAAGGATAATACCATGAATTATGCTCTTGGTAGGAGGAGATTCAGCTAGGTGCAGTCTTGTGCTTTGTGGTCACCAATACTCATAACTTGGAAAACCTACTTTATAATAATTAAAATTAGGAGTGGATTTATGAGTTTATTTAGTAGAGAGCACATAAACTTCTTTAACGATAAGTAATAAGTATGTAACTAATTTTGAATCAGGGATATTTATATAAATTTTACACTAATTAGTAAAGTTGAAAAATTGCACATAAGCACGTTCCACCGTATATGTTTCCTTACATTCATCTCTGGTAAAAAATTGATAATTAGTGATTATGACACAAAATGCAACTAAAACAGAATTTCGTATATAGATTTGTATATATCTTAATATATGCATATAATTTTTATTTTAATATAAATTCATTTTATAAAAATATAGCATTAAATTAATAAAAAGATAATTAAGAAATAATCCGCAGCGTAGCACGGATATATACCTAATAGCAATAATTTGTGGAAAGAAAACTAATTTCTTTCTACATTTGTCATAACTCATAACTATTTATACCTCTCGTAAAAAAAAACTTATTTTCGATCTTTAATTATTAACTAGTAACTAGTACAATAGCTCAACATAGAGCTAGACTCTAGAGGGACGAAATGTGTGATAAAATCAAAATGAAGATGTTTTTTTCCTGAAATTGTATAACTGATTTCTTAAAAATGGAATTCATGAACTTTTTCTAGTCAATCAAAGATTTATAACGGAGTTCTTCTCAATTTTCCATTTCGATGCAAACTTTTTGTACCAAATCCATACCTATTCTATACGTAATTTCACATGCTCAGACTAAAAAGAATGCAAAATATATTTCATGAGCCATGAACACATTGTTTCTTATATATCTCCCTCACATAAGTGCCATTTGTTTTTCAGAGACATTGTCAATAAGAAGAGATTTTTAAGGCTCACCTATAAGTTGGAATATTACTTTGTTCACTACGTTGCGCAAATGAATGGTTCTAAAATCACTAGGATGTTCATTTAAACACATGGTGTCTTCAATCATGATCATACTATAAGAGGATAATGTGGAAAAAGGCCTAAAGCCCGTTTTGGAGTTGCGGATATTTTTTTGTTCTTAAAAGGCTTAAGCCCACAGAAAACAACGCTATTGGCCCAAATTATATGACGCCGTTTCAAATTTAAGGGAACTTTTTAATTATTAAATCAATCATCAGACCAAAAGAAAAAGCAAAGTTAAAAAAGAAAATCAAAGAGCTTCCTTTTTCGCTCGCCTCTCTCCCCGTTTGCCCCTTTTCGGTTCCGGTCTTGTATAATCAGTCAAATCCTGTTTTATCGTGAATTACCACTGTCCTCACCATTGTCGCCGTCCTTGTTCATACTTCTCGTTTGGGTTGCTCCTAACATCAGGTACCCATTTGACCTCAATTTCAAAGCTATTCTTTGTGTGTGTCAGAGTCAGACATCATCCTCAAGAGGATATAACAATTATATGGGAAGTGAGCTCTAGATTGTAGGTGAACTTGTTGAATTGGCTGTATTTTCTGGGTTTTTAGTTGATAGCAATTGTATTTGCGATATGCAATTGTTAAAGTCTGGTCCTTTTATATTTATTTGTTCTTTGCTCAAGCTACATCAATTTAAGTGTGTGTGTGTGTGTGTGAGGTCAGAAATCATCCTTAAGAGAATATATATAAGCATATGGGAAGTGGGCTCTAGATTGTAGGTGGACTTGTTGAATTGGCTGTATTTTCTTGGGGTTTTAGTTGGCAGCAATTGTATTTGGGATCTGCAATTGATAAAAAGTTTGGTCCTTTTATGCCTATGTGTTCTTTGCTCAATTTTGAGAGCGTGAAAGAAGCTTCTATGTTGCTAGTTAATGCGTAGGTTTACGAACTCTTGTTGCTAGATTTGGAAAAAGTATTATCGTTAGGGTTTAAGGTGTTTAGATGTTGTTACATGAGATTATCTCTAAGTTTGATTATTGTGATCTTCTGTTGCTATAGAAGAAGCTCAGTGCTTATATATTCTACAGAAGCTTCAAGACACCATTCTAATATCTGGAAAATGAGAACCATAGTTAATATCATAACGCATTAACGCTGTGCAATTGTATTGAACTAATAAACCATAACCTATTGCAGTAAGTAACTAACCAGCAATCGTTAATGAGGTTCCTTTATGTGACTGTTTCTTAGGCTTTCCCTTATGTGGGTTTCTTTTTTTTTGCCTTGCAAGCTTGACTTAATCGGAAATCTTATTTTGTTTTTGTCAGTTTAGGAAAATAAATCAGTCTTATTTAATGTTCTGTTTTTTTTTTTTGTTTGAATGTTTATGAATAAAGACCATGGATGACCTTCATGGAACCAATGGTGGGATGCACATTGGCGGAGCTCAAGATCCAATGCATGTGCATTATGAACATCATCACGGCTTGCACCATATCAACAATGGGAACGGTATGATGGATGAACATGTTGATGATGGGATGAATGAAGGAGTGGAGACAGACATTCCTTCTCACCCTGGAAACGTATCTGATCATCGCGGCGAAGTTGTGGACCGTGGCAGTGATAATGGAGATCAATTGACATTGTCCTTTCAGGGACAAGTTTATGTTTTTGACCGTGTCATGCCTGAGAAGGTGACTTTAGTTTTTCTAGTAACTTTGGTTGTATCTATCTGGCTGGTGTTTCTCTGCGTATTTGAAACTCTGCTTGATATTTTTTTTACTGCAGGTTCAAGCTGTGCTCTTATTACTTGGTGGACGGGAAGTACCACATACGCTTTCTACAACCATAGGATCACCTCATCAGAACAATAGGGTACTGGTAATAAAAGATTTAATACCATTATGGGAAATGAGTTTTTACTCCTTGAGTTTTGTTGCTGACTAGTAAATGAAGCAGGGTCTATGTGGTACCCCTCAAAGGTTTAGTGCTCCGCAAAGGCAAGCCTCGTTGCTCAGATTTAGGGAGAAGCGAAAAGGGAGGAATTTTGATAAGACGATTCGCTACACGGTGAGGAAGGAAGTAGCCTTGAGGTACGTACGTTTATGTCTAAAATCAACAGCTAGGTTTTGGTTATATATCCATCTTTTGAGATGTGGTGTTTTGTAGTTAAGGTTTCGTTTTTTTTTTATCTCATGTAGAATGCAGCGCAAGAAAGGTCAGTTCACATCTGCCAAGTCAAGCAATGATGATTCTGGATCCACTGGATCGGATTGGGGTTCAAGCCAGACCTGGGCCTTAGAAGCGACTGAGACTCAGAAGCCAGAGGCTTTGTAAGTAGAACCAACTGTAAAAGTTGGATTGTAGTTGATTTGGTTACTGTTTTGGGAGATGCTTCAATTCTGAAATGTATACTTATCATCAAAGCATCGCTCATTTCATACCTGGAACTTATAAAATCTTTCTTTGCGAGAAGATACAATAATTGAGACTGACTTTTGTTGTTGCATCTTAAGTCTTTATAGATGGATGGTGAAGTATACTTTTTAGTTGACAAAGCTTATCTCTGATGTTTATCTTGGTCAAATGGTTGTGAGCATGTGAAGATGCCGGCACTGTGGAATCAGTGAGAAGTCAACTCCAATGATGCGACGTGGACCTGAAGGGCCAAGAACACTTTGTAACGCATGTGGACTGATGTGGGCAAACAAGGTAAATAAGCTAATTACTTTCTTTATTCAATTGATTGGCCTCACTTTTTTGATTCATTGATCAGTTTGATCTTATTCCAACTATAAACCCTAAACAATAACATTGTCATCGACATAACCGTATCAGGGGGCTCTTAGAGACTTATCCAAAGCTGCTCCTCCACAAATAGTAGCCCAGAATCTGCCTGCAAATAAGATTGACGTGAGCAACATCTGCTTAAAAGCAATTCATAAGTTTAGAGTTTGATTTGCTCTTTAAGATGACATGCATTCAAATTTTTGTTGCAGGACACAAATCTTGAGGCTGATCAAATGATCGTTGTAGCTGGTGACATTAGCAACTCACAGTGAGAAGTGCAAAACCATTGTTGTTATCATTTCCTTTGATGATGATGGAATCTGTTGTAATCTCGTAGCCTTTGTTTCACTTATTTAGAAAGCTCACTCATCAGAAGAGAGAATAACCTTTGCTCAGTCTCTCTCACCTGTGAGTTGGATTATTTTCATTAGCTTTTTGTTTTCCTCAGGTAGAAAGAACCACTCAACTTTTTCTTGTATCTTTTTTTTTTTAATTGAGATCACATAAATATCTAATTAAAAGCGTACTTAGTTGATAATTGCTAAAGTTATTATCCTAAACAATGATTGGTTATGTCGTGCAACCCAAGTGACCTTTATGTCGTACACACGTTCACCAAGGTCATAGGAACTTTCTCGGCTACTTCATTAAAAATTGATTAATTTTCTTATGCAGTTAGATCTGAGAACAAGGAATTTAAAGTATAACATTATTTAAAATTGAGATTGATTAGATATATGCCATGTTAAATTTAATGGTGGGAGATGGCATGTTCTTTCCCGGGAAAATCTCTTTCATCTTCTTCTTCTTCTTCTTCTTCTTCTCTTTCCCATAAAAAGAAAAAAAAAACAAACAAACTTTCCGTATTTTCTGCAAAAACAGACCAGAAATAGTAATGTCCTCGTTCAATTGAGTTCTCTCTCTCTCTCTTCTCTCTCTTTTTTTCTCTTTTCTAGATTTTTAATTTTAATTTGGTTTCTGTGAAAGCTCAAAATTAGTTTCTCTTTTTTTCTCTGTGATTGACAGAGAGGTAAGAGAAAGAGAGGGAGAGAGAGAGTTTTCGGTTTTTGTTGCCTTATTCTCTTCTCACGAGTTTGGCCTTCTCTCTCCGTCACGCCAAATTTAACAACGACCAAAACCAAAAAGGTCGTTTCTATTTCTTCTTTCATCGTTTCTCTGATTTTTCCCGAGAAAATATATTTTGGATTAAAGAGGAGGAAGAAAGCTGGGGGAGACGAAGGAAGGAAGAATGAGCACTTCGTCGAGCAACGGATTGCTCCTGACGTCAATGTCAGGACGACACGACGACATGGAAGCTGGGTCGGCCAAAACGGAAGAGCATTCTGATCACGAGGAGCTTCAACGCGATCCTGATGATCCTTTCGACATTGATAACACTAAGAACGCCTCCGTCGAGTCTCTCCGTCGCTGGAGGGTACCATTTTCTTCTCCGATTCCCCCCCCCCCCCCCCCAAAATGGATTGATTCTCTTTTTTCCCTTTTCCTTTGATTATTCGTCGATTTTGAGATTCATTCAATTGTGAAATTATTGCAGCAAGCGGCACTGGTGTTGAACGCATCGCGTCGATTTCGATACACTTTGGATCTAAATAAAGAAGAACACTATGACAATCGGAGGAGGATGATCAGAGCACATGCTCAAGTCATAAGGGTATTATGACTTCTTCTTCTTCTTCTTCTATTTGTCCTGTGTTGTTTGTTTCTTGATCTCACATGAGTAATTGATTCACGAATCAGGCAGCATTGCTTTTTAAGTTGGCTGGGGAACAACAAATTGGTATGATCTCATCTTTTTTTCACAAGAGTCTAATCAAATTCTGTTTTTCTGTTTGCTTATATAATTATTAATCTTGCTTTCTTTGGGTATCAGCCTTTGGCTCATCATCAACCCCAGCAACTTCAACTGGTAACTTTGACATTGACCTTGAGAAACTTGTGTCAATGACAAGGAACCAGAACATGTCCAATTTGCAGCAACATGGAGGGGTAAGTTAACAAAGACTCATTGCATTTCATAGTGGGATGATTTCATGATACTGACGTTAACTACTTACCTTTCAGGTGAAAGGTGTTGCAGAGAAGTTGAAGTCAAATCTGGAGCAAGGAATCGAGGAGGATGAGAAAGAGCTGATAGATAGAAAGAATGCATTTGGATCTAACACGTATCCAAAGAAGAAAGGGAAAAGCTTCTATGTAAGCTTCTATCTTATAACTTCTTTGGTGGTGTTTGTTCAGCTTGTTGATAACTCAATACGTTTTTTTTAACTTTGTCTTCTCCAAAAGATGTTCCTCTGGGAAGCTTGGCAGGATTTAACTCTTATCATCTTGATCATAGCGGCTGTAACATCATTGGCATTGGGAATAAAGACAGAGGTATGTTTTCCTTTCAAATAAACTCCTTTTTAATTTTCCAAAGTGGAACATGTCTTAGCTTTCTTTTGGTTACTTCTTCATTAGGGGCTGAAAGAAGGTTGGCTTGATGGTGGAAGCATTGCGTTTGCAGTGTTGCTTGTCATTATTGTTACAGGTATGAACATACATTCTGTGTTTGTGTTTTATGTCGAATTCTTGAAAAGAAGCATTCCCAATCTTGCTCTCAATCCATTTAAGACGACTCTTTCTTTACGCTTTTATCTTTTGATTCTTTCAGCTGTTAGTGACTATCGCCAATCTCTTCAGTTTCAAAACCTCAACGATGAAAAAAGAAATATACAACTAGAGGTGCTTGCTTCAACATCTTAGATTTTTTTTGCACATTGTATGTTTTTGAGCTGATAACTAAATAAACAAAAAACTTTTACAGGTCATGAGAGGAGGGAGAACAGTGAAGGTTTCAATCTATGACGTTGTTGTCGGAGATGTTATACCTCTTAGAATAGGTGACCAGGTATGTATCGTTTTGTCAATATATTCCATTTGTGGCTTCGGAACTAGACTACACTTTGGTCTTACGTATTGTATCCATCTAGGTCCCTGCGGATGGAGTGCTAATTAGTGGTCATTCTCTTGCTATTGATGAGTCTAGCATGACCGGTGAAAGCAAGATTGTGAGTTCATAATGGTTCTGCTTGTGAAGTTTTTATTCTTGTCTTCTCTTTCTACTTGCTAACACAGATCTCTGTTGCAGGTTCACAAGGATCAAAAATCCCCTTTTCTAATGTCTGGTTGTAAAGTTGCTGATGGAGTCGGTAATATGCTGGTATGTCTTTGAGGCTTTTGTCTTTTAACTGACTTCTGTTCTACATCACATTTTCTGGTAGTTATTCTTTGTGAGTCTTTCAACAGGTTACTGGTGTTGGAATCAACACCGAGTGGGGATTGTTGATGGCAAGTATCTCAGAGGATACTGGTGAAGAAACCCCCTTACAGGTATATCATCTTGATCACTCTTTTTTATTGGGTTATGGTCTCCACAATGTCTTGGAGAAGCCTAGCAATTCCTTCTGGTTATGTAATAACAGGTGCGGTTAAATGGTCTTGCAACCTTCATCGGTATAGTGGGTCTCTCAGTGGCTCTTGTTGTCCTGGTGGCTCTTCTTGTGAGGTTGGTCAATAAATCTTTTGGCTTACGACTTCATGCCATGTTGAGAACTATAATCTTTGAGTTTTTTTCTTCCAGATATTTTACTGGAACTACCCAAGATCCTAATGGAGCAACCCAGTTTGTCAAAGGGACGACTAGTATCAGTGACATTGTTGATGATTGTGTAAAGATATTTACAATCGCCGTAAGTATCAATTCCACATTCGTGATCATGCTATTTGGTAGACATATCAATTAATTCTGGCATTTGTTTAGGTTACTATTGTGGTTGTGGCAGTGCCTGAGGGACTTCCTCTAGCAGTTACCCTCACGTAAGTCATACTTAATATAACCAAACCCACTCAGAAATTTAAGTAACTACATCGTAGTTGTTAATCCACCTTTTCTTGACATCATGTTTGCAGTTTGGCTTACTCAATGCGAAAGATGATGGCAGACAAAGCTTTGGTAAGAATCAAAACGGGCCTTCTCGCTTTAATTATTTCTTCTTGATTGTTGCCTGACCCCATTTCAATTGCTAACAGGTCAGGAGGCTTTCAGCTTGTGAAACCATGGGCTCAGCAACAACAATCTGCAGTGACAAAACCGGAACTTTAACTTTGAACCAGGTCAGTGTCTAGTATAAACTCAGCTATCAACGCAATGGGAGCTTCTCCATTGACATGAAAATCATCATACCCTTCTAGATAGCTAATTTTAACCCTCGCAAAAATGCAGATGACTGTGGTTGAGACTTATGCTGGAGGATCAAAGATGGATGTAGCAGACAACCCTTCTGGACTCCACCCTAATCTTGTTGCCTTAATAAGTGAGGGTGTGGCACAGAACACCACAGGAAACATTTTTCATCCCAAGGTAGGATTTTTACTCTGATATTGCTGAACCATCTTCGATTTTTATTGGAGAAAACTAGCCAAAATGCTGATTTCCTTACTTTAAGCTCATACTGAGGTTATCAAATGATGGATGTTTAGTACTCATGTTGTTGTTGTTTTACTGTAGGATGGTGGAGAGGTGGAGATTTCTGGATCTCCCACAGAGAAGGCTATCCTGTCTTGGGCGTATAAGGTATCAACTGTTTGTTTACTATGGTCCATCTTTGTCATTTTTTTCCTCTGTATGAGCAATATATTTAAAGAAGCTATTGTTGCAGTTGGGGATGAAGTTTGAAACCATCAGGTCGGAGTCTGCTATCATCCATGCTTTCCCTTTCAATTCAGAGAAAAAGCGTGGAGGTGTTGCTGTGCTTCGAGTAATTTCCTGATCCTTTCTCCAGTTTTTAATATTAGGGAATTAGAAAAATGTTGTGCACCGCTATGTTCAAAACACATGAACATCTTCTCATCGCCATTCATTGAGGAAAGTCTCTAAAAATATTATATGGAGCTGATCAGGAGTATATTCACTCACTGCAGGGTGATTCTGAAGTTTTCATTCACTGGAAAGGAGCAGCGGAGATAGTTCTGGCTTGCTGTACACAATACATGGACTCAATTGGTACTCTGCAGCCCATTGATAGCCAGAAGGTGAGATGAGGCAGAAATTTGGAAATAACAATCTCTCAAAGTTCTTATTGGTGCTAGAGAATAAATTAGGAGAAGGGATTGGTATCAAAACCAAGATAATTGTGTTAATATTGCACTTGAAGGACACACACTCTGTTACCCTTGTAGGAAACATTTGCCTCTCATCTCAAATCTTTAAAACATTTGTGTTTGGGAATTATTTTACAGGAATTTTTTAGACTTGCTATTGATGCCATGGCGAAAAATAGCTTGCGATGTGTTGCTATTGCATGCAGAACACAAGAGCTGAACAAGGTTCCCAAGGAACAGGAGGACTTGGATAAATGGGCTTTACCAGAAGATGAATTGACTTTGCTTGCTATCGTTGGCATAAAGGTAGGGATGCTAAAAGTTTATCTTGGGTAACTTGAAGTTTGTTTTATGTGTTCACTATGTGACGATTTTCCTTTCTTCCAAAGATTTTGATTTTCTT